ATGAATCTTCCTTTTATCAGACTTAATTTGTTGAGTAAATTAGTGGGGTAAGTACCTGCAAGATGAAAACAACTTGTCATTGCACTTAGACAATTTTTTAACACTGATCGTGTTATTTTGATGAATAAATTAAATATTGATCGGTCTTCAATTTTCAATACTGATATATTCTCTCATTTCTTTATAAGACAAGAAAAATTTATACGAATCATCCGTTCATTCGAGTTAATTTGTTGAGTAAATTAGAGGGATAGATACCTGAAAAATGAGAATAGATTGTCATTGTACTTAGACAATTTTCTGACATTGATTTACGGTATTGATCAATATTCGATTTTTGGTACTGATTTACTCTTCCATTTCTGTAAAAGAAAAAAAAATACATACGAATCGTTCACGTATCCACGTTAATTTGATGAATAAATTAAATGTGAATCGAATATTCAATTTTCGGTATTGACTAATTCTTTAATTTCTTTATAAGAGAATAAAAATTGATACGAATTTTTCTTTTATCCGACTTAATTTGTTGAGTATATTAGTGGGGTAAGTACCTGCAAGATGAAAACAACTTGTCATTGCACTTAGACAATTTTCTAACACTGATTTATAGTATTGATCAATATCCGGTTTTCGGTACTGATTCAGTCTTTGATTTCTCTATAAAAGAAAAAAAGATTGATACAAATCGTTTGTTTATCCACGTTAATTTGATGAGTAAATTCGATATTGATCGGTATTCGATTTTCGGTACTAATTTCTCCTTTCATTTTTCTATAAGAAAAGAAAAAATTCAAACGAATTGTTCATTTATCCGCATTAATTTGATAAAAAAATTAGATATTGAACGGTCTTCGATTTTCGCTATTGATTTATTTTCTCATTTTTTTATAAAACAAGAAAAATTGATACGAATCGGTCGTTTATCTGAGTTAATTTGTTGAATAAGATTAGAGGGGTATGTACCTGAAAAATAAGAACAAATTGTCATTGCACGTGTGCAATTTTTTGACACTGATTTATGGTATTAATCGATATTCGATTTTCGGTACTGATTTACTATTTCATTTCTCTATAAGAAAATAGAAAATTAATACGAATCGTTCATTAATCTGCGTTAATTTGATGAAAAAATTAGGTATTGATCCGGTGTTCGGTTGTCGGTACTGATTTATTCTCTCATTTCTTTATAAGAAAAGAAAAATTGATACGGATTGTTCGTTTAACAGTTCGTTTAATTTGTTGAGTAAATTAGAGGGGTAAGTGCCTAAAAAATAAAAACAAATTGTAATTGCACGTGGACAATTTTCTGACGTGGATTTACGGTATTAATCGATATTCGATTTTCGGTACTGATTTACTCTTTCATTTCTCTATAAGAAAACAGAAAATTAATACGAATCGTCCATTAATCCGCGTTAATTTGATGAATAAATTAGGTATTGATCGGCCTTCGATTTTCGGTACTGATTTATTCTCTTATTTCTTTGTAAGAGAAGAAAAATTGGTACGAATCGTTCGTTTAACCGAGTTAATTTGTTGTGTAAATTACAGCGGTAACTACCTGAAAAATGAGAACAAATTGTCATTGGACAATTTTCTGACACTGATTTATGGTATTAATCGGTATTCGATTTTCGATACTGATTTACTCTTTCATTGCTTTATAAGAAAAGGAAAAATTGATACAAATCGTTCATTTATCCGCGTTAATTTTTTTTTTTATATATAAGTAGTCCATGGGATGATTAAATATTCGAATACATGTTGCCTTATCAAGGTCTCCTCTATAATAAACGATTTGACATGTCTGGAGACGCATGATGTATCGTTGCCCGCATCCCATTCCCTTCGTCCTGCTTTCCTGTATAAAATGTCGAATTGAAACGTATTAAAAAGTATTGACATTTTGAATATGTCTGAATTCTGAATCTTTTTGATCCGAAGAAAAGGATTGAAAAGTATTAGTTTCCATTAAATTTTACTGCGCTAAATGCGAGACGGTCTCTTTCGCCTGGATGCCTCACCAGGAAAATTTCTCTGGTACGCTAAATCCCATAAGGCCATCAGTCTTTGTAGTATATCTCGTCGGTGCATAAGGTTTATATTACCTGTACATACATATTTTGAAACATTTTCTTTGGACATTATATCAGACGGATTTTGCGTATCACGTAATATCCTTCAGACTACACGGACATTATTATTTTGATCATTTTGATTTCTTTGGTATTCATTGAATTATCCAGAACGCGCAACTGCCATGTTGAACGATTCAATTGTCGTGTGAAATGTTTCGATTTTCACAAATTCATATAAAATTTTTCATTTTTCACTGATACACAGAAGTCTTTCACTTTTTATTAGTTCACGCTAGGGAAAAGATTCATGATTGCTGCCCCGAGCAGCTGCAACGCTTTTCGAATCATCTATGTCGGCGAGCTTTTACTCCTCAGATTTCTGTCATTAATAACTCGATAATTATTGCGAATTTCGCAAAATGGTATGGGACTTTTCTGTTTGTCTCAACCCAATCTACCCTCACACTTCGAGTTGGCAGCTAATTACCGGATACTTCGTATGATCTTCATGATATTAATTATACACAATGTCAATTCTTTTTTTTTGCACATGTTAACATGTAAACAATTCATATTATAAACGCGTAACAATGTGCGAGACCATGCTTGTCAAGTACGCTATTATGGTTGTAGCAGGAACATAAACCGCCTAAATGGATGGATATAGCACGGACTGCCACCACATACAGGTTTTACCTCCGAAACCTGAAAGTGGATGTAGCATCGTAGTTCTCCTCTCAAAATGGATGCAGATGGCGCCCTTTCCCAGTGCGGAAAGTCGGTGTCGTCGAAAACACTGTGTTGGCCGCTCTCACGTTCCTCTCTGCTTGCTACCTCTGCTGCACCTATAATTGGACTTACATTATGTGACATTCAATGACATTCACACGATTTTCTTTCTGCAATGCAAATATACATATATACAAATATAAAAATATACAAATATACAGATATACAAATATAAAAATATATAGATATACAGATATAAAAATACACGATTATACAAATACCTAGATAATTCAAAAAATTGTTCAGATTATCCAAATCATTTAAGAATCGTGTAAGCTTCGTCATTATCATCAGGACGGACGTAGTTCATACGCATTTGCTCAGGGGTCGCGATGAAATAGCCGCTCTCTCTGATGTTATGTTCCTATCGATGAAGGCAACGACGACAGCGCCTCTCACGTTGTTAAAATGCGCGCGCTCATGCAACATGGCGATTCGAAGTGAGTATGACGTCGCAAGTACATATGTGAGGAGAGAAATGAGAAGAAATTTAGACGTAATTAGGTCTTTGCAGACCTCGGTAATTTCATTTTCTACTATTTGTGTCGATTACTTAGGCCCAGTTCCACAACTTGCTTTAAACGGAGTTTAAAGCTAAACCGATGGTTAAAAGCAATAATATATGCGCATATACTATTGCTTTTAACCAATAAAGTAAGACGACACTTGAGATATTACGAATGTCGGGCAGCCGCGGATGTTAAACCGTTACGGTACGAGCAGATTTCCTTCCGTAAGGTTTGCGAGATTGAAATAAGGTTACTGTCGTAACAAATGATTCATTTATTACTTTTCGGAGAAAGAGCGACCATCGTAGTATATTTCGGTTGATACTTAGAAAATGTCGCGCTGCTACAAAGCAGCGCGCGTTGTTACAGACTTATTCTTTTTTTACATGTTTCGTGAATTATTGATTTATAGATATTGGTCGACGCGGTGAACGTGTTTAATGGATGCATAAATCCGACTACGGCACAGCGGCGACAGTCGTCGACAACGGTAAATGTTAAATATTAATATTCTCGGAACTTTCATTGCGAGTAATCGCAACATCCGGATGTCCTTATAAATCGGCTGCAAATATGCATACTTTGTTTTCTGGAAGAATGGAGGAACTTTTATTATAGACGAATATAAAAAGAATAATTTAACTTAAATTAATAAAAGGTTGGCAAACATGGTAATGTACAAACTATAGAGTATTAATAGTTACTGCTATTTTATTGCGTGTTTTGTTGCTAATTAAGTCAATCAATATATACGGGAGAAGGTTTTATATTATCGTAATGTAGAAAAGAGTATATAAAAATATTTATGAATTTTGTACGAACGTATATCGAGTGTAGACACTCGATTGGGGAATTTATCGCTTGAATTTCGCCAGTCAATTCTATTCCTAAAATAATTAAATATCCTACTATGTTACGTATTTGAAAATTCTCTAGTCGTACAGTTACGGAAATATAGCTATTTTCATCGCGTGATAACAGGTATACGAAAAACAATGCATCACTACTAGAGATATTTACCGGTATTAGTAAAAGAAAATTTATTCTACAGAAATATTGAACATGACCGATGCAACGAATCAGATTCGTCATATATAAAAATTACCTTTCTTATCATTATATAAAAATATTCTAGCAACATTAGTCTCTTGTATTAATGTTGAACGTTATTTATCCTACTGAAGTACCGAAAACATATTTGGCGTTTACAACGTTTTTCAATTAGTACCCTAACGAAACCTAAGGCACACATTGATAAGAGGCACTAGGGTTACATCTGTGGTACAAAATATACATATAGATATATGTATACGTGTGTGCGGTACACAAAGTTACAAAATATAATCTCGTAGTATCACCCTCTGTCGCACATCTCTCTCTACGCCGTCGTCGCACGTTGCATTAAACATTTCGATCTACGGTATCGATAATTAATATCTTAACTCGACATATGGACAAAGTAGGACGGATGTGTCCCTGCAAAAATTCACTGCCGAGTCTCGCAAAATACGAGACTTTCGCGCTCGGCTCTCTCTCTCTCTCTCTCTCTCTCTCTCTCTCTCTCTCTCTCTCTCTCTCTCTCTCTCTCTCTCTCTCTCTCTCTCTCTCTCTCTCTCTCTCTCCCTCCCCCCCCCCTATTTCGTCACTCGGCAGGTATGTGACGCTTATTGTGACGGACGTGTCGCCGTCGTTTCATACACGTGACGCAACAGTTTTCTTTCACGATCGACGATGCTTCACACATGCGTCTGTAGCTCGCACACAGGGACGGCGAGGGTACGCCATTCTTGCAATCTGAAAAAGCAGAGTACGAGCGTGAGAACGCGCGATAGTTGGCCGATTACGGGCAGATTTCATCATTCTCGATTAACTTGATCGGCCGATTATTCCTTTGGAATTGACCAATCGCACTTGTCCTTAAGCGGAATTGACCAAAGTTCACGGTTGATCACTTAATCAGCCAATCAAGATAATCATCAAAGATGGTGAAACTGGCTGCTTAAAGAGGATTTTCTAGATTCAGGCCGGTACAAATGAAATACTCAAAAAAAAATATTCTATTCATAAAGTGATTTTCCCCATAGTCCCATATTTTAAGCAAAGCCTTTTACAAGAAAAGGATTCCTCTTTCGATAAAGCGATTAAAGTGAGCCATTCATCTAAAATTTATTAGATATTATTCTATTTTCCTCTTATTTCAAGAGGATTTCCTCTTGTATCAATTAATTTTCCTCTTATATGAAGAGGAATATGTTGATTTGAATGCCGGCTTCTTTTGTTCAGTCATGTTCTATCTCTAGACATGAACGAAAAAATAATCATATGCTCATGGTTTAGAATATTTGGACGCTTTTTAAAGAAGGTATGTGTGTTGCTGTAACATATAACGAAGATAATTTACCCATATTTGGTCAAATATAATTTATAATCTGTTGCAAGAAGTTGAATAATATATTCTTTTTTTTAACTATATTTCATACAATTGGTTGTGATGAACATCTTTGTAGCTATGAAGTCCATAACAAAACTGATTGGAAATTTATTTGTTATGATGATCTTATTTCATTCGTGCCTACTTATTGTAGAACTGCAGCCAGAAGTGCATCTATATATATATATATATATAAAGTAATATATATATATATATATATAAAGTAATATATATATATATATATATTACTTTTCGCTATATATTATAATAATTTTTACAAATTGACTAGTATAACCAGTAAGAATAAAGTAAGAATAAAACCAGTAAGAATAAATACAGTAAGAATAAATAATAATCCTCTTAAAACAAGATTAAATAATCTGTGTACAAGAGGAAATTTATATTAAAATCAATAAGATTCGCATTATACATATAACATATAATCTCTCTAACTTTAAGAATAATGTGTTTATAATATTTTCCTCTTAATCTTAGAGGAATCCTCTTGAGACCATATATAAGAATAAAATCCTCTAAAATTTTGATGATTCTGCTTGTTCTAAAATTACGTTTCTTTTTTTATGAAATACGACAGATAAAGTCGTTCGTTACCGCGAGCGGAGTTAGACACGCGTTTGAAATCTTCCCGAGCGTCGAAGCGGTGAAGAAAATCGAGGTTTCGAATGTCCGGGAGAGAAGCCGCTCAGCGAGCGGCGAGTCATCGTGCGGATATTTAGTGCTCGCGAGTACTTCTCGCAATGTTTAATGCTCGCAAATATGCAGTCCGCGGTTTTCGCCGACAATTTGATGACGTTCGTTGTTGCAGCGCGGCGATACCACTCGCGATAAGTGCCTGCACGCATTAGGCGCGTCATATGCGCATGCAAATCGAGCGGCATCGCGTGTGATCTCATAAACCAAGTCGTTACGACTCGCGGTTATTCCGTATAAATTCCAGTTTCCCCCGTGCCTTCGGGCAAGGGCATATTCCGCAACTTTGGACAAGCCAAACGCTCGGTAACGTAACTAGCATAACTTAGCATTACACGCGGCTACCTTCTAATTCTCTCAACTCCGTTACAACTCCGTTAGATCGTCTCAAAACTTCCATTCAACATCAATTACCGCGGCGCGACGAATGTGAGCTTAACTTTTAAATATCGCGTGGCTAACAGTTGAATCATAAATACTCGCGTGTCGCGTCGGGACTTTTCCGCGCGAGCATCTCTGGAAATAATGCTGCAATTGTGTGCCTATCTCTCTTTTTTTCCCCACTATTTGTCATCAAGATCTCAGAGATGTATCCTCGTGCGCTGCGACTGCGACGACTCGGCGAGGAAGTTTGCGTAAAACAAAAAGAAAGAAAAAAAGAAGAGGGGGAAAGAAAAAGAGGGAGGATGACAATTCTCGTGAGACGAACGGCAGAACTTTGCGCGGAGATGCGCGCTTAAAGTGCGCGCAGACGCAATTACCATTCTTCTCGTAACATTGCCGCCGATAATAACAGCGCTTCGTGTCGAACGGTCTCTTGTCGGGATTGCAATCGTCGGACAGCAAGTTCGTCGCTCGATCGCGACACTGCACCTCCCTGTGTTTAACTCCCGATTTTGCGAGGCAAGTCGCGTTGCAAGTTCCCCAATTTCCTGGAATCAGAATTAATAAACATCCGCGTAAAGCCTTCGTGAACGCTTAAGAAACTTGATGGGAGTCGGGCGACCCTCCGGCGAATGATTAATTCCTCGTGCAGTCCTCGCGAGAGGCCGCGTGCTCATGAGGTGTAATTTCGATTATCTTTAATTAGCTCCGGCGCGACATTCTCCGTAATTATATTATCCCCGTTATTTCGCGCGCGCGCGCGCGCGCGTCCGCGACGAGAGAGCATTTTAATTACGTCTCTCGCGTTAAAAAGATACCGTCCTGCTTGATACGCGCGGACGCGCACCGATCGGAGTAGCTCACCGGTGATCCATTTCCCGCTGCGACAGTCCTCGACGCTGCTCGGCTTGTTATCCGGATTACAATCGCCCGGCACGGAGCAGGTGACTTTCCGGCTCCTCTTGCCGCTCGAACAGTGACTCCATCTCGACACCGTCCACTTCGGCTTGGTGTTGTACATGGAGTTGTCCGGGTTCTCGTCGACGACGTTGTCGAACTCGAGGATCTCCGGCTCATCGGTGGTCAGGCCGTTGACGATCGTCATGCCGTCCTGCTCGCTGATGTTATAGAACGACGTGTCCTTGTTGTCGGCGTACACGATCAGCGGCACCTCCGTGGTGAACCCGCACGGCGGCAGATTGGGACACGGCTCGACTTCCTTCGGCCGCTCGTCCTTCTTGCAGTCGCGGTCGGGTACGGCCAGGTCCGCCCGGTCCATGCCGGATACCACGCACATGACCGATCTCTTGCGCAGCGCGCTCTTGCCGCACGTAACGGGGCACATCTGCCACGGGCCCACCCACCATCTGAAACGTCGACCGCGGTTGTAGCGACTCCAAACTAAGTAAAGTGTCGCGTATTTCTGGAGTTCACTCCGGTGAGATATCCGGATAATACGTCGGATAGGTCGGAAATGCCGGGGAGGAGAGGGATCATTGAGTTAACGTTGGAGGCGGCGCACCCAAAAAAAAGTATTCTATTTGTAAAGTGATTTTTCCCATAGTCTCATATTCTAAGCGAAGCCTTTTACAGGAAAAGGGTTACTCTTTCGATAAAGCGATTAAAGCGAACCATTTATCTAAAATTTATTAGCTACTATTCTATTTTCCTCTTATTTCAAAAGAATTTCCTCTTATATCAATTAACTTTCCTCTTATATGAAGAGGAATATGTTGATTTGAATGTCGGCTTATTTGTTATAATGATCTTATTTCATTCGTGCCTACTTTATTGTAAAACTGGACCCAGAAGTGCATCTATACAGAGAGAACGATTTAATTGAATCTAGCAAATACTTATTTGGAATAGTTCAAATAAATTTTTTGATTGATCGAAGTTTTGTTTGACGCAAAAATATTTTGTTGCAGCTTAGTTCCAACGAAATATTTTTGTTGCGTCAAACAAAACTTCGTTCGATCAATCAAAAAATTTATTTGGACTATTCCAAATAAGCATTTGTTAGATTCAACTAAATCGTTCTCTCTGTGTGTATATATATATATATATATATATACTCTGTGTGTATATATATATATATATATATATATACTCTGTGTGTATATATATATACATATATATACATATACACACAGAGAGAACGATTTAGTTGAATCTAACAAATGCTTATTTGGAATAGTCCAAATAAATTTATATATATATATATATATATATATATATAGTATACTGTATAGTATAGTATAGTATAGTATTGTATAGTATGATATAGTATTGTATAGTACTGTATAATATAATATATATAGTATACTATATATATATATAGTAAGAATAAAGTACAGTAAAAATAAATAATAATCCTCTTAAAAAAAGGTTATATAATCTGTGTATAAGAAGAAATTTATATTAAAATCAATAAGATTTGCATTATACATAAAACATATAATCCCTCTAACTTTAAGAATAATGTGTTTACAATATTTTCCTTTTAATCTTAGAATCCTCTTGAAGCCATATATAAGAGTAAAATCCTCTAAAATTTTAATGATTCCGCTTGTTCTGAAATTATTTTCTTTAGATGCGATGAGCGGACGCGTTTCAGTCGAAGAGAGCGGAATTTCTGGCTCTTACGAACAGAATCCGGCCCTAAGAGGCGGGAATTCTACTCCCTTCGACCGAAGCACGCTTGTGATCTATTCGACGTATTATTTTAAGGCTTCGGAGAGATATTTGATTTGGCTTGCGAGTTCGCTGTCTCAGCCTCAGGGAACAGCCTGAAACTTGGGTTTCAGGAATCACCACTAAACGTCGGGAATAAATCGAATAAAACGCGTTTGGTTCTTTCATTATCGCGTTAGTTCGATCAAACTTCTTTTTCGCGCGGATATAATAGTAATAAGCTGAAACAGAGCTCTCTTTCTCTCTTCTTCATAGGGAAAACTATATAAAAGATGGCGGTCGAGGATCGTATAGAATTCGAATCGACCGTCTTCGCGCCACGAAATAGCGACATGTGCCGTCGAAGTTTGTCGCTGCTATCGAATTCGAATTTGACTCACCTCGTGGGACACGAATTCAGATTGCATTCGCGCGACTGTGGCTGCGGCTTTTCTATGCCGTCGCAGAAGTGGTTCTCGACGATGCCGCTCTTTTTTTCGTGACAGACCGGCTGTGAAGTTTGAGTACCTTTGCCGCAAGTGACCGTGCAGAGGTTCCAGTCGGAGAATACCCACGAGTATTCCGGCGCACGAACGGGCTCTTTCTTCGGCACCGTGTACTCATAATGCACCTCGTTACCGCTAGAGGGACTTCGGGTAATTGCCTGAAATGAAGTTATTAATAACATCAGTGGAAATGGAGGAGACCGCGCGGAATTACTTTCTTGATATTCGCTGAATCGTAAGATTGACTGTGCTCCGAAAGAGACGCCTCCTCTCTGTGCACGGGAAAATTTTTTATTGAATAATACAGCCAAAGTCCGAATTTATATGTAACAACAATTAATCGTTTCTTTGAGTATTTCTTTAACTTGATATTAGGTGTAGGTAAAGTTTCGGTCTTTTTTTAACCCTCTAATGTAATTATTTTGAATTGAAATATTTTCCCGCCGTTTTGTGTTTTTGTAAGATTGGTATTGAACTTTTTAAAACGCTATTCATCACGATTTATTGGCGATTCATTACGATACATAACTTTAAAAATAACAGTTGATACAATGACGAAAAATCTTATATTCGACACTGCATTCGATATGAATTCCAGCAAGGAAAAGATGCTGCTAAAATATGTGAAATCATGTGCTCTGTTCTTGCGAAAAATTTTATGTCCCACAATACATGCAAATATTGGTTTCGTCTCAAAGCTTCAAAGACGATGATTTTGACGTGAGTAATCGTCCGTGCTTTGAAACGCCACGAAAGCTTGTAGCCGACAATTTGGGAGCGTTGTTGAATGAAAACTTGTCCCAAACGCAAGTAGAACTTACAGAACAGCTCGGAGTCGACCGAGCCATAGTTTCAAGGCGATCGCATAAAATGGGAAAAATTCAGAAGCCCGGAAAATCGGTGTCGCGTGAATTCTCGCAAAACAGCATTACTCGCGGTTGAGTACGTGCGTTTCATCGTTTTCCAGACAGCGCAAAACAGATTTTTTGTTGAAAATTGTTACTGACGATAAAAAGTGGATTATGTATAATCCTAAACGGAGATATTCGTGGATGGATCCCGGACAACCTTCTACATCAGCAAAAGGTCCTTTTATGTATTTGGTGGGGTGTGAGAGATTATGAATCATAATAAATGGCGTTTTAGAAAGCTTAATAGCAATCTTACGAAAACATAAAACAAAAATAAAATAATATTTCAATACTAAATAATTACATTAGAGGGGAAAAAAGACCAAAACTTTTCCATACACTTAATGTGTATAAAAATTTATGTCATGAGCGAAATAGTTTTATGACTTTAATAGCAAGTAGTTTAATTAGACTAGTAATTTTATACTGCTTTTACAAGCATTTTGCAAAATACTAAATTAGTCGGACAAGCTAGCTTGGTACTTTTCTCAGTATACGAATGTTAATTTCAATCGACCTTGAGGAGAAAACGCGCAATCACAGACTCGTGTCAACGGGTATAAAAGTTCGCTGCGATTTCCAGTTTCATCTTTGCCGAGTTTCGCACGAAAGGAAACGTTCTTGTTTTGCGCGTCGAATCTGGAGAAGCATCTGGAAAACACTCACGTAGACCGTGATGGCCTCCTTGATAGGCCCCGGGATTCGGATCTTCTCTTTATCTTGTTCACGTTCATACAACGCTGGCGTTCCGGCGACCTCGTACTCGCCCGCTAAAGTGATCTGCCTGTCTGATTAGAATCTCAGTTTAGGGCTTCGGTCACGATCGTTAATATCGCGGGAGTTTCTTTCGCCGAGGTCGCTAGAGCGTCGAACTGCGCGTTGGGCACGACCAACCCCGTCTCGAGCCATAAAAGTGTACACGCAACTCGAGTGATCGAGCGGCGCGAATTATACGGCCGCGCGCTAGCTTTACAACCTTCAATTACGTTTGAATTTCGCGACCAGCTGCTCGCGTCGTCGCGCGCAGTTCGGAAGCTTTCCAATCCCGGGCGTACGCACCGTTTTCCGTTCAGGAAGTACTTGTCGGAATTCGGCACCCCGATGCCGATGTAATTCGTGCTCTGACTGGTCTCCTCGATCTTGATGTTTCGCGAGCCAGCCGGGATCACGACGACTTCTTTGTAGCCCAAACCTTCACTCTTGTTGTAAAAGCCGCTGGTGGTCTCGCATTGAGTACCATCGCCGTGGCAGATACCGCAGCGGTCCTCCGTAGCGTCGGAATCCACCGTCCAATCGCAACCGACCTTCTAAGAATCGGAAACACTCGATCGTCAAAGGAACCTTTCACCGTTAGATCGGACTTGTAAAATGCTCATTGATTTTTCTACGTAAAGAAGAATTCATCCCAAAAAAAGTAATTTCAGAACAAGCAGAATCATAAATCTAATTTTCATCTAACTCTAACCATCATCAATCTGACAATCATCATCAATCTAACTTTCATGGTCCTAAATTTTAAAGGATTTTATTCTTATATATAGTCTCAAGAGGATTCCTCTAAGATTAAGAGGAAAATATTATAAATACATTATTCTTAAAGTTAGAGGGATTATATGTTATATATATATATATAATGCAAATCTCATTGATCTTAATATAAATTTCCTCTTATACACAGATTATTTAATCTTTTTTTAGAAGATTATTATTTATCCTTACTGTACTTTATTCTTACTGGTTATATTGATTAATTTGAAAAAAATGTAATGTATAGTAAAAAAAGTAATATATATATATATATATATATATATATATATATAGATGTAATATAGAATATATATACAGATACTTCTGGCTTTAGTTTTACAATAAGTAGGCACGAATGAAATAAGATTATCATAACAAATAAATTTCCAATTAGTTTTGTTATGGACTTCATAACTACAAAGATGTTCATCATAACGAATTGTATAAAACATTAGTTAAAAGAAAGAATATATTATTCAACTTCTTGCAACAGATTATAATATTATATTTTATAATTATATTTGACCAAATATGGGTAAATTATTTTCGTTACATGTTACAGTAACATACATACTTTTTTATAAAAAGAGTTTCAAATATTCTGATCCATGAGCATATGATTATTTTTTCGTTCATGTCTGGAGGTAGAACATGACTGAATAAAAGAAGCCGATATTCAAATCAACATATTCCTCTTCATATGAGAGGAAAATTAATTGATATAAGAGGGAATCCTCTTGAAATAAGGAGGAAATAGTTGGAATAATATCTAATAAATTTTAGATGAATGGTTCACTTTAATCGCTTCATCGAAAGAGGAATCTTTTTTCTGTAAAAGGTTTCGCTTAGAATATGAGACTATGGCAAAAATCATTTTACAAATAGAATACTTTTTTTTTAAGTGTTCCTTCTTTCTCGCATTTTTACAAAACTTCTTTTTTACACTGACCCTGCATATGCCGGCGATGCACATGTCTCTGGCGCCGACGTTGCACGGGGTACCGTCGAGAGCAGCCTCTCCCCAGGGTACGATCACGCTTTCGTCCGTATCGGTGCAATAGAGCTCGCAAGGCTCCACTAGATGAGAAGACGCAAATGAAATTTCGCATTGTAGTTAGCACCTAAAGTGTGGCATTAATTGGACCGCGCGGTGAACCCAATTTCACGAGTCGACGATCGAATAACGATCGGAAATCTTCATCAATGTCGAGTGGGACGACTTTTCGGACCGTTCGATTTGATTTCGATTTTTGAATTCGATTTTTGTCTTGTATCGACGTTGCATTGATGGCAAATTCGCTTGACATTTCATATGTCTTGACATTTCATGTCTACATATCGATTTGGCATTTAGAAAGTATCATATAAATGTCGACTGTGTTTCTGTGTGTGATTATTGATGATTTAATCGATATTATGTTGCACGATGTAAGCCGAATAATGATTACATCGTCGACATTTACTTAATATCTTTCAGATATCTCGAGCAGATGTCAAATCGATCGGTGATCTCTATGTGGTCTCAACTCGACTTCGACAAAATTTCGACCGGATTCTCTATCGACTTGCGAACCCGGGAGCGTCCTCTCGCTTCCCGCAGTTTCTAACGGAGATTGAACAATTCGATGATTACGTTTCCCGCGTTACCACCGCGAAACTCGTGTGAATCCCGACTCGGCGTTTTTACACACGTCGACAAGTAACTCGAAGAAGCAGTCGAGCTATGTCGGGAATGGAGGACGCATGAAACAGCGCTTAAAAATTCCCCTTACTCTGGTCGAAATACGGCAGCCAGGTGTAGTTCTTTCCCTTGTACTCTTTGTCGTCGTAGTTGCTGCACTGCACCGCGCGGAAACTCGGCTCGCCTTCCGGGCAGGGCTGCGTGTTGCAGATCTTGTAGCGGCGTCTCTCGCCTATGCAGAACTTTCCGCCGTGCGCCGGCTCCGGATGGTCGCATTTCCTCTCGACTATCGAGACACCGGCGCCGCAAGTTCTCGAGCACTCGCTCCAGGATCCCCACTCGCCCCAGCCGCCGTCGATGTGCTGCGGTCGATCGACGACGGGCACGCATTCTTGATTCTGACACCACTGCAAGGATCCACATAAAAAAACTGTGCTTTTAACCTTCTACAATTCAATTTTTTCCGTCGGTATAAAAAAAGCCGTGTAACGTGGAAGCAGCAAATATTAACTTCCGGGTATAAATTAACAGATAATTCTAACAATTATTTTATTACATTAATAGCAATTTTATCGAGCATAAACATCAGCAATCAATTTACAAATTTCGGAGATTTTACTCCAAAAACAGAGTAGATTTGTAAGTTTCGCAAAAAACTGTGCTTTTAAACCTCTACAACTCAATTTTTTTGTCAGCGTAAAAAGAATCGTGTAACGTGAAAGGAGAAAATATTAACCTCCAGATATAAATTGACAGATAATTCTAACAATTATTATTTTATTATATTAATAACAATTTTAACGGATATAAATACTAGCAATCAATTTACAAATTTTACTTCAAAAACAGAGTAGGTCCGTAACTTTGGCAATAAGCTATGCTTTTAACCTTCTACAATTCACCTTTTTTTGTCAGCGTAAAAAGAATTGTGTAACGCGAAAGCAGCAAAATATTAACTTTCGGATATAAATTGACAGATAATTCTAGCAATTATTGTTTTATTATATTAATGACAATTTTTAACGGATATAAATATTAGCAATCAGTTTATAATTTTCAGATATTTTATTCTAAAGAAACGTTTATAACTTTGGCAAAAAGTTTTGCTTAATCCCTTATACATATTTAATTTTTTTTCGTGAGCATAAAAAGAATTGTGTAATGTGAAAGCAGAAAATATCGATCGACTATAAATTATCCGAATAAATCCGAATAAATCCGAATATAAATTAACAGATAATTTTTACAATTACTATAAGTGTTAGCAATTAATTTACAATTTTTAGAAATTTTTTTCTAAAAAATCAGTCTGTATCTTAAAATTTGCAAGATAAGATATCTGCATGTATATGCATTTAAGTTAAGAATATATCAATATATCAGAGTGTGTGACTTCAAAGTTACACGGCATTACAAAGAGTCAAAACGAAGAAGTGAATGGTACCATTTTGCCTGCTTTTCCCGAAATAAAACGAGTCAGGGTGATCGGCGACGAGACGTCGCGTGGCGAGGTTTATCGTATTTTTTTTTTGCTCAACGTACCATGTGTTTTCCGCAATGCGTGCCCGGGGCTGCCGGATGCAGCATAGTGCTGCAGGTGCCGTCCACGATGCACCAGAGTTTCGAGCATATCTGGAATCACACAAGAGTCGCGGTCGTTTCAATTCTGCTCGGTCCGCGGGAGGATTGAGCTCGATCGTTTCTACCACCGACGCTCTCTGTTTACCTCCTGCAACGGAGTGCAGACGGCGGCCTCCTTCACGCCGAATTGCAGTCTGCACTGGTGCTCGGCGTTGTACATCGCGCCGGGTGGTAAATCCGGATACGCGTAATCATTGTCCGCCGGCTCATCCTCCAGACAGTCGCCTTTGCCTTGGCTGGAATTCGAGAAGAGAGAGATTCACGTTTGCGTATTTACGCCCTTCCCGCGTCCTCTGCGCGAACGAGCTAAGGAATACGGAAAGATTGCACGCAGAGAGCGTTAGCCGAGAGTTTGACACGCGTTTTTGCTTCGTCCCGGTTGCTCAACGATCTCTTTTCTTCGTCTCACGTGCAACATCCCGAGCAGAAATCAAATATTTTATGCCTGTTGCAATTTTTTATGCCTGATATGGCATGACTAGGCAAGCCAGAAGAAGGCATTATGAGTGGCCCTTATCCGGTCGGAATGTAGCAATTAATTGTCTTGCAATATTTTCCGGATTATACCCTGACCAGCGATGACGTCATTATATTTGGATGCCTGATTTGGTCCTGATGGACATTTGATCAGGTTTCTCGATTTCAGGCAATTTTATCCGGGCATTATGTAGCAGTGCGTTTCACTTCTTATTACGTGCCGGATCCGATAAAGTTATCCGGGCCCTATTTGAAGTTTGGAAGCCGGATGGGGTTTTAATATGGCCGTGGGACGATGTTCTGCTCGGAATGTCGCGAATCGTTGGAACAATCGTCTCGACAAAAGATGTTGCCATTACTCCAAAAAGTTGGTGATGTCTCTCCTGGAACATCTGGACCAGGCCACCCCGACAGCGTCCACCTCGAAGGAAGGCGTCATCACGTGCAAGGTGTCGCCGTCGCGCTTGCTGCAGCCGATTTTTTCCGTGTCGTGGTACATGCCGAAACTGGACAGAACAGACAGTGTTGGGGTATAGGAAATCGGTGACGTGTGCACGCGAGTGTTGCGTCCGAGGTCTTAATTAGGGTATCTATCGAGTATCTGAAAGGGCTCGAGCCGTTCCGCGTTATTCGCTTACTTATGTCCTAATTCATGCGTGATTGTGTGCGCCAACGTGATCCCATTGTCCTCATTGACGCTGCAGCTGCGATCCGGCTGGCACATGCCGGCTACATGCGCCACTCCCAAGGTGCTGCAGACACTCTTGCGCGAGCAAATGTCCTTCCTCGTCACGAGGATCGCCACGTCGTGGTGATTCGGGTGCGAATCGTCGCCGGGATTGAGCTCCTGCTGCCACTTGCAGAAATGGTACAGGGTGTCGTCCGCGCTGTCGGAGACATTGAGCTCTTTCTGGGACAGAAACGGACAGCAATGTCGAGCCCCGTCCGAAGCGACGATCCGAAGTCTATCGCGCTTGGCGGGATTGATTTATTGGGTTATTCAAAAAATCATTGCGTTCTTTCCGATGATTTTCAAGACCGTTTATTTTATACAAAGAATGAACATTAATCAATGATATATTGCCCTTCTTGTTCGATGACCTTCTGCCATCTTTCGATAAGCTTCATGATCCCATTCTTGAAAAACTTCCTATTTGTATTAGCGAAGAATTGAATCAAGTGCCTTTCGATAGCGTCATCTGAAACAAACGTTTTTCCACTCAAGGAGTTTTGCAAGGACCGAAGTAAATGGTAGTCTGATGGTGTAAGGTCTGGCGAATATGGTGGATGAAGCAATACATCCCAACCAAGCTTCAACAATTCTTCGCGAGTCATCAAACTTGTGTGTGGTCGAGTGTTGTCATAATGGAAAACCAGTCCTTTGTGATTGATCCTTTGGGTATGGGAATAAGTTTCCGCCTTTTTCAGAAAGATATCGCTAGTGGTACTAATTTCGTGTTTGATGGAACGGCTATACTTGGGTTTTGAAGGTGTATTTGTGAGCTATGAATCGCAGTAGTAGACATTCGTTTGAAGCGTAAACATAATTTTTTTTTTTGCGTCGAAAATGGCAACATTTACCCCAACGAAGCAGCATTTGCGGGAAGTATTACTCCATTACTATATAGGAAGGGTTTTTTGCATCGAATTGTCACTGGCGATGAAAAATGGATCTACTACGACAACCCCAAACGACTGAAATTATGGGTGAATGCCAGGTGAACCCAGGTCCATCAACTCCAAAACGGGATATCCACGGTTCGAAAGTTATGTTATGCATCTGGTGGGATCAAAAGGGTATTATTTATTATGAGTTTCTAAAACCGTCCGAAACTATCACTGGGATCGTTACCGACTGCAGTTAATACGTTTGAACCGAGTTTTAAAAAAGAAACGACCGAAATGGGATAATAGGCACAACAAGCTGATTCTGCTACGACAACGCTAGGTTCCACGTTGCAAAACCGGTCCAAAAATACTTGGAAGAATTGATTTGGGAAACTTGCCTCATCCGCCATATTTGCCAGATATTTCTCCTTTGGATTTCCACTTATTTCGGTCCATGCAGTTGGCCCTTTCTGGAGCGCGGTTCACTTCTCATAAAGATATCGAAAAATGGCTTAATGAATGGATCGAGTCAAAAGAACCTGATTTTTTCTTCGAGGAATCCGTTTACTACTTGAAAGATGGGAGAAAGTTGTCGCTTCCATTGGGGCGTACTTCAATTAAAATCATTTTGTATTTTTTGCTTAAATAAACGACTAATTTGTATTTAAAACGGGCGGAAACTTATTCCCATGCCCGATATTAATTCTAGCCTCATTTCTGTTATCGCTTCCATCAATTTGTCGAGCTGTTGACAGTACACGTCCGAATTGATAACATTTCTTGGTAAGAGCTCGACATCACATCACATCTTTCCAATCCCACCAGATTGAGAGCATCACCTTTCTCTGGTGGATGTCTGCTTCTGATGTGTTTTGGGCCGGCTCATCGCGTTTGCTCCACGATCGCTTTCGTTTCATATTGTTGTAGACAATCCATTTTTCGTTGCCAGTAATCATGCGTTTCAGAAATGGGTCGGATTGTTCATGTTTCAGAAGTTGATCGCGGATATCTATGCGTTTTATGAGGTGAACTTCTTTCAGTTCATGCGGGACCCAATTCTCGAGCTTACTGACGTAATCAAGTTGTTTCAAATGAAGGTAAACGCTTCCAATCGATATTTTTAGTGCCTCAGCGAGCTCACGAATGGTAGAACGTCGATTAGCTTCAACTAATGCCTTTATTTTATCATCATTAACCTCCGATGGCCGACCTGAGCGAGGTGCATCTTTCACGCTGTAGTCACCAGAACGGAAACCAGCAAACCAATATTGACACTGGCGTTCTTTTAGGGCTTCGTCACCATAAACTTTACGCAACTTTTCACAAGCTTGCACAGCGTTCTTTCCTTTTCGGAAGTAATAAGGTAAAACTTGGCGAAAATACTCGTGTCTTGACTCTCCATTTTCAAAACGTTATAGAATGAATAATTGTTGATCGATTCGCGCACTTTTTTCCTTGATGGAAGCTATAAGTGCCAGCTGTCAAACGCGCATGGGCTCATGAAAATTTACAGATGCGTTCAATACATTAAATATACAAGTAGAGCCATCTATCGGAAATAAACGCAATGACTTTTTGAACAAGCCAATAAGAGAGCAATGGCTCGCGGAGCGGAACGCGGATACCTCCACTTCCTTGTCCTCGATGAGAATGATCCTGACGACGACGATGTTGATGAAATTGCCGATGGTGGGGTCGAGGTACAGCGAGGACACCATGTTCATAATGGTCAGCAGATAAGTCTCGACGTCGCCGTCCTGATGAAACAGCATCATCGTCCTGTCGGCGACGACGAGGGCCTCGACATGACGCGGCGTGCTGATCGATCTCTTGGAACGGTGCCACCTTCCCGGTGGCTTCGCCTGATGTTTCCTCCGTCCGCGGCCTTGAACTTGGACCAGGCCCGGTTGAGCCTGCCACTCGAGCCGCGTCTCTGTCAATCGACGCGGTTCTGTCGGATATTTCACGTGCTGTCACGATTAACGCAGTCGCTAATCCCGCGAGTCCGCTGAAAGTCCCTCCTCCTGTCGCTCGCCTGTCTCCCGTAACCTGCGCGGCGAAGCTTCGAGTCTACCGAGCGAGAGTCTACGTAACGGAAACGAGAAGCTGAGGAGCTCGCATCGCTGCGCGTCGCATGCGTAACCCTTACGGCGGATTCCCCGCGTGCCCTTCGATCGAGCTCGAGACACCGGGATAGTTTCCGCGAGCAGCGTCGACATGCGCGGCCGTGATTTATGCAGATTGGCAGATCGCAGGGCTGCAATTAAGATTTCATTTGGTCCGGCCGACAGATCGGCCGCTGCCGGCTCGCCGAAATGGATACTCATTGTACTTAATTACGGGTTTGCAGCGAATTGGATTATCCCCTCACGGACGGCGCGCCGCTCGTAGCCGTGAAGGAACATATCAACCGGGCGATCTTACTTGTATATCTGCGCGCTCGTGCGCGTTTAATCCGTTGAAATGTGGGGTCACCGGGTCGCGGCGGGGGTGGTCGGGTGGTCGTATCTCGAAGGCCTGAGCCGAAGAGCGTACGAGCCGGCAATTCCGGATCGGGAGGATTCGCCGCGGCCGCGAGCGCCGACTCGGCCGGCATTATTCGAATCGTCAGGATCGCCGCGGTGCGGCGGAGGCGACGATCGCGCACCTGCGCGGCCGGCGAGCCATTTAGCTCCTATCGTCGCGAGAGAGTTACAGAGTCATTATCGCGATCGGGAACGGTGCGCGGGAGAAACGCACGCGGTCGTATACGCTTCTTCCACGGCCTTTCTCCGCTGGCCGTAGCCTTCCTTCCTTCCTGCCTGCGTGCCTGCCTGCCGCCCCGCTCGCGGATATTATCGTCGGCGAAAAATAAAAGACAGAGACGAGGCGTCGATGACACGCCCACGTTCCGTACCACAGCGCGTCCAATTACATTATACGCGCGGCAGACACATAAATACATGCGATACATATTACAAGAGAGGCCGAGCGAGAGAGAGAGAGAGAGAGAGAGAGAGAGAGAGAGAGAGAGAGAGAGAGAGAGAGAGAGGGGGAGGGGGGACAAGGTGTGCCGTACGACGCGGCGGTTACGAGAGCGGAGCGACGCAGCGCGAGCGAGAGGCGCGGGCGAGAAGCGAAAGAGGAACAAGAAGAAGGTGTTGGGGTCTGTTCTCACCGCGGGTGCCGCAGTTTCTCTCCTGCCTCCTCTTCTTTTTGCGCCGTCGCTTGCTGCGGCCGCCGGCGCCGATCCTGAGCTGCTGCTGCCGTTGCTCGACCGAGCGGCGGAAGACGAGGTGAGGCCGGCCCGCCGTCGGGCTCTGATAGACCGACGAGCGGCCGCCGGCACCGGCGGCGCCTAAGTCCCCGGCCGCAGTTTCGTCCGCCGACGTGCCGCGTTTTTCTTCCAGGGACACGGCGACTGGTTCCAGCCAGAACTCGCCGTGCTCGCCGCGTAGCATACCCGCCTGAAACACAAAACCGGGTCTCGTGTTACCTAGGGAGACTTGCACGCAGCCAGCCGCCGCCGCCGCCGCCGCCGCCGCCGCCGCCGCCGCCGTCGCCGACGACGACGACGACGACGAGACGTTTCTCGTCTGCGCGCGCGGCGACGCCGAATACGAATGGGCCCCGAAAGTGACCGCGTGCGTCATCCTGAGAAGCTTTGTTAACCCCTCACGAGGACCTCCTCGCCGAACAGACGCGCCGGTCGCGACGCTCCCTCAGCGGCCGCGGATTATCCGCGGCTGATAAAGAGCGCATTTGCCGCCCGGATTCCGCGCAAACGCACCTGGTGCGACTTCGCGCCGCGGACTGTCCGTCGTCCCGTGTGCACTCGCGCGATTCTGTTGCCGCGGCTCTCCGTGTCGGATTTATTACCGTCGAGTGCACCGCTGTATCTTGTATCCTGGATCGTCTGTGTCGTTCTTTCCCTCTCTCTCTCTCTCTCTCTCTCTCTCTCTCTCTTTCTCTCTCTCTCTCTCTCTCTCTTTCTCTTTCTCTCTCTCAGTTCTCGCTGCGTCTAATTCAACGTGCAGTCATGTCTCTCGTCAGAGCGGAACAAATCGCGACCCTCGGCGTGGGAAGAGCGGCGGCGGGCGCGCGAAATGGCAGGCGGTGGTCTGCGAGGGCGTGTTTCTTCGCGATTTCGCGCGAGCACCGCCGACGGCGATGATGTGTGGAAATATTAACGCGATGTACGAGAATGTAACGAAGTTGCGAAGAGCGATCCGGACTAGCTGCTCCGTGGATTCAGCGTATCGGGGAGGAGAGACGGGGAGGAGGGGAGAGAGAAGCATCTCGCAGCTATTAATATTATATAAGTATGCTCGCGTTAAGTACTTGGAAATTGAGTTTCTACCGAGTTGGCTTATATCGACGTATGCTGCCGGGTATTATGCGAGCTTCCCGCGAAATGTAAGCACTGGCGTCGCGCGGGAAAGGACAGCGCGCGCTCTCTCTCTCTCTCTCTCTCTCTCGATGTCGCGCGTGTCTCTCGGAAAGTAAGTTATAATATAACGTCGGCGTGAAACTTATCGCGACCTGCCCGCTCATTATTTCGGCCATCAATCGCTATCCGACGGCGGCCGGCGGGACCTGTCAACGACCTGGCGGCCTGATTGATGCTGCGCTCGCGCGCTAATCTGCACGGCGTGATCAACATCGGTCCGCATTGTTCTATTTCTTGTAGCGGAGGTGTCGGCTCGGACCTCCGACGGCGCGCGCGAGGCGTCATGGAACAAGTATTTCGAAGGTCCGATCGGTAGAAAAAGAAGGCGGGAGGTGGAGGAGCCGAGAGAGAAGGCGCTCGTCGGGAGAGGCAACGCTCTCTCGCTCTCGCGCCCCGGTCCTTTCGGGAAATATTCACCAACTGCAAATTTTCTATCGAGAAGAGGAATAACAAGGTTTTTTTTTTCATCGCGTATCTTCAAGTCGCCATCCACGGATGTTTCCACGATCAAATCCCGGCGAACGTTGAAGGAGAGTTTGCGTCTGTTTTGTTGTTTTCACGGCTCGAACGGGCGAAGCCCCTGTTGGTTAACGCGAGAAAATGCGACCGGCGGAGCCGGCGGACGAACAAACAGCTGGCTGGGCAAAAACAGATCGCGAGAACACGTGGAAGGTGCACGCTGCTATAAATTCCATCAATTTATTGCGCGTCACGACTCGCGCTTCGCAGCACGCGCGGATCTATTAATATCTAATAACGTAGATTGTTTACACCGCGCGCGCGCATTGACGGAATGCCGTGTCATTGTCGTCAGTGTCACGAAGCAGGTATTTTCGCAACCCGCGGCCGAGTGAGAAACAAAAAGGAACGAGGAAAAAAACGACGAAAGGGACGGAGCGGAACGAGAGAGAGAGAGAGAGAGAGAGAGAGAGAGAGAGAGAGGAGGCGGGAACCCTTAAAAGGGCTAAATATAGTCGGGCCGAGGTGGCGCTCGCTATTTCGATTAGCCTTTGACGCAGACCGTGAAAAATCACGGCGCCAGACTCATAAAGGCGAGGGAAGAAGGCAGAGAAGGAGAGGGAGAAGAGAAGAAGAAGAAGAAGAAGGAGCGGGGGAGGGGGGGATCTCGGAGCGAAAGAGGTCCGGCCGTGACTCGGCTCGGCATGGGGCCTCACGGCGTTCTCGCCTCCACCTCCACCTCCGCCGCTCCCTCCTCCTGCTCCTCTCCTTTGTCGCGTCATTTTCGTTTTATTGCGTCTCGCCCTCCCTCTCTCTCTCTCTCTCTCTCTCTCTCTCTCTCTCTCTCTCTCTCTCTCTCTCTCTCTCTCTCTCTCTCTCTTTCTACATGTGCACAAACTTCGATCGGCTATATAAGGAGTGATTTGTTGCCGCGGCGGTGGCTTCGACGATGACGAGCGGATCACTTTGTCGTCCTCTTCATCGGCCCTTCGCGGAGAAGCCGGGGAGAAGTTGGGAGAAAACGAAAACGCTGCTCGAATATTCTGTCTGTACGTTTCGGGCCGAGGAACGCAATTTTCGACTCGCAATTGCTCATTGCAATTGCCCGAGTGTTCGTATAAAAGGAAAAAAGAGAGAGAGAGAGAGTCTCAATAAGATCAAAAGGGGTTAACGATATCCGGCGATTCTTCCGCGAAGTTTATTGGTCAAAAATGCAGCGCGCTATCGGACGGCGCGATGGATACGACGTCCGTGGATTCGAGCGGCGTGTGCGCTCTCAGTCGAAATGAAATAATTGGGAGTTATGGCGCATATATACGTTAGTCGCACTCGCGCGATATTTCATCTTTCAGTCGACGAGATCTCCGATTCGCCGATATCCGTCGCGATCGGCGGATTTAACTTTATAACTGCGACTTCCGCTCGCTATCGGAGATATTCTACGTTCCAAACGTTCCATATAATTCAGAGAGCCGATATTCGCGGCAAAAAATCGCCGAGTTATCGGGAATCGCTATCGCGATATCCTCGCCGAGCCGTTGAACGGCGCATAAAGACCGGGCGAGAGAAGGAGAGATCGTGCAGACAAGCGAGGCGCTAAGAGTTCTCCGGTTTGGCTGTCAATTCTCGCTCCGTTAGTTAGGTCAATTTATCCGCGGATAAATTGACAAGGCAATAGCGTTCGCGAGACCTTCTTATCTACGACACGCGGACCGAATCGATCGGTTATGCTCCCGCGAATCGCTATGCCGTGCGCGCACGCGCGCGCTCGCGCGCTGCGGACATTTATATGCGCGCGTGCGAAACTACGCGCTCCTGTACGAGCCGCCGCGCGCTATACGTTATTCGGCCGTTACCGGTCCAAGAATCCGCTACTCCGCTTGAATGTGGCTAATTGGCAAGCAAATATATGCCTGCGTGGCCGCGCCCGCAAGAAAGTTGCCCCCCGGAACGCTTCTTTCTCTTTAATTGGACCGTGTTGTATGGATCGGCGGGGAATATATCTACGCGCGCGTATGCGCGCTCCATTTCGTCGTCGCGCGTTGCCGGGCGTTCGATTAATTCCGCATATCGGCCCGTAATTTACGGCGGTACTCGCGTTTGTTGCCTCGCGAGGAGAGTAACGCGCGCTCTCGGCGTTTCTCTATCGCGGCGACGTCGCGAGCGCCGCACGGCCTCGCGGCTGCAGCCGCGCGTATCTGTTGCGCTTCCTCTAATTGCCGGGAACACGCGAGAACCGAGAAATAATCCCGTAAATTCGCCGTACGGAATTAACGAGCACGCGAGAGCGAGAGCGAGAGCGAGAGCGAGAGCGAGAGCGAGAGCGAGAGCGAGAGCAGCCTCGTCGCCTCGGGAGCGAGACTCCGTCCGGAGACTCGGCCGTGTGAAACGCTCGCCGACGCTCGCTCTCACGTCGCGCGCGACCATTACGTGAAATATTATAAAGCGCACGCGGGTGTAGTACGCGCTCTCCGTCCGCTCCGATCCGATCCGCGAGGCGATCCGCGCCACGATCGAGCGTTGAATTATTAATTGGCGCAACTCGTTGCAACTCGCGCTGCGACCCGCTCCACATAAATTACCGCGCAGCGCGCGCGGCTACCAGTTCGCTAATCGCGATGCACACCCGCACTCTTCGGCCGATCCGCGACGCAATCGCGATCGTGACGATCGCGGAAATGCCGATCCGCGGATGGGAAGGCGCAGTTGGCCGGCGCGGCGCGCATCAAGAAAAGCCTCGTCTCGCCGTCGTTGCGAAGCGCCGTCCACGCGATCGCTAACACGGCCGCGAAAGATTGCGCGTCGATTCCGCTTAATCAATGACGCTGCTCCATCGCGTTTCTCGCGGCTCGTCTCTCTCTCTCTCTCTCTCTTTCTCTCTCTCTCTCCCCCTCTTTCTCGCTCGTTCGCTCGCTCGCTCCGCTCGATACGCCGGCGATCGTCAAGGCGATCTTACCCTGCAAACTGGACGGCCGCCGCCGCAGTATGTATAAATTATTATTGAGCGACCAACGGGGAATACCGATGGGCGGTCGCAACATCGAGACACGTCGACGCCCATGTTTAGCGGTCGAAGCCTACGGTCCCGCTTTTACGACGCATATTTGCACCTATGTCTAAGCGCGCATTGGTTCCCCCGAGACGGCGATTGTTGCGGACACGCGAGTATTTGTCGCGCTTGCCGCGCGACTCGGTCACGCTGACAGCCGTAAAAGACGATTAAATTATCGCATCACCGTTAACCGCGGCCGATCGCCGGCCGAGGGAAATTAATTATCGGAATCCGCCTGCAAACACGCCCGAAACTCCCGTCCGGGAGAAGTCGCGGTCGGCCGCGCCGGCTCGTCCACAGCGATTTTATATTTCGCCGATACGCGCGCCAGCCGATAATTAAATATTTGTATTCCCCGTGCGAGGTAATATTGACGGATACGCGAGGCAAACGTAAAATTGTCAGCTGATCGTATCATCGGTGAAAGCGCTAAGAACGTTGAGCGGATGAAAAGAGGGAGAGCGCAAGAAAAAAGAAGGGTGAGAGAGAGAGAGAGAGAGAGAGAG